TAGTGTAGTACCTGGCAGAGAGAAGCTTCTCAGGAAATGTAAAGAGTCAACAACAGTACTCATCTTTACCGTTTAGATGCCTGATGTTTGCACTGTTTGGGACTGTGAGGAAGCAGATAAACTAGGCAGAACCACTGATCACAGAAGGAAGGAAACTGGAAGAACAAAAGTGACAAGAAATTAGAGAATTAAGCACAAGAAAAACAAGAGCCAGGGACTGGGAATGTAGCCCAGTGGTCAGGGACATGCTTCATTCCGATGAAGGCTCCAGTTTGATCCCCAACACACCCAAAAACAGAAAAGGAAAAACAATGAGGTCAAGGCTGTGCCATAAATGTGGAGATGCAATGTGATGACCCATTCCAGGAAGAGGTATAATATTAAACGGCACGAAATAAAATCCAACTCGTAGTACTTACTATCACACATGAAACACTTGAGGCCTTTGCCTTATTTCCATTACCGGCTCTATTGCTTTTTTTTTTTTTTTTTTGCTTTGTGGGTCACGCCCAGCAATGCACAGGGGTTACTCATGGCTCTGCACTCAGGAATTACTCCTGGCGGTGCTCAGGGGACCATATGGGATGCTGGGTTAGCCTCATGCAAGGCAAACATCCTACCCGCTGTGCTATCACTCCAGCCCCTGTCTACTGCTTTTTTTTTTTTATGATTCGTGAATACAGTTCTAGAGGAACACTAACCAATACTATTCTGATGAACATTCATGGACTTCACTCCTGATAGACTACCTCTCCGGACCTCTATAGGGAATATTTTACCCTGTTAAGACAATTATTTCAGCTCTGCTACACGAATATGGTATCTCACTAATAAAAAATTAATCAATCAATTAATTAAAAAAAAGAAACAGATTTAAAGGGACTCCATTCAGTAAACAGGTTGGGATCATGCGCATGGCCGAAATAACTGAAAAAGAAAAAAAAAAGTCTAAAGCCAGGTATCCAAAATCTAAACAGCTCCCAAAGGCACTGAGAGTAGCAGGCAAGAGTTGGTTCAAGAAGAGAAGTGAGGGCTGGAGTGACAGCACAGCAGGTAGGGTGCTTGCCTTGCATGCGGTCAATCAGGGTTCAATCCCTAGCATTCCATATGGTCCCCCGAGCACTACCAGGAGTGATTCCTGAGCATAGAAAGCCAGGAGTAACCCCTGAGAGCATAACTAGGTGTGGCCCCCAAATTTTTTCAAATAAATTAAAAAGTGGGAAGGAGAGAGCAGACAGGTTAAGGTTCGTGACATGTATAGCGCAGACATAAGCACACAGGGCTCCTCCAGGCATTCCCTGGACAGCCCCAAAGCACAAAGCTGGGAGTAGCCCAGACTACCATTGACTGTGACCCCAAACTTACCCCTGTCCCGCCCCACCCCAAAGAAGATAAAATATACTGCTGGTTCAAATCACCTTGAGTTTTATGATGGTGTTATCAACCTTAGAGAGCTAAAGGGGGCTAGTCCCATGGTGTGGGAAGAAGTTAGGGAACAGCTTGTGGCTGAAAATGCACAGATTTCAAGATGATTAAAAACAACCTGAAAACTGTTAGTCTGTGTAGACTTCTGCCCAAACTCCCTAAGTTGTTCAAGTAACAGAGTATTAAATTCACTTAATCACCTTTATCTGAAGACATTGCTCCATTAGGAGGTACTGAAAGTCTCTTGTCAAAGAATGATTTAAAATACACAATAAATTACTGTGGTTCTTAAATCCATTTCCATTCAGGAGAAGATAAACCATGAAACCCAAACCAACCACGCAGCTCTCAGATTTACGTAAGAGAAGTAGATGCCATAACTGAAAAGCTCTATTCCAAAATGCCCATTGGTGAACTTAATTGCAGTCCAAGTCCTCTTTTACTCAATAACTAAGGATACTGGAAGGTGAATCTTCTTCAAAGCTAAGTCTATAAAGTCTCACTTTACAACTTTGCCTTCCACTGTGTTTCTTACATGCAGAGAAAAGAACTGATGGCAAAGTGAGACCTTGGCAATTTTTAAACGCTTCCATAAAGGTGTCTCACACTTAACTGCACTGGCCTTCCTAAGGTTACAATGGAGAGCAAAGCACAAAGGAGGCTTCTCTGTAGAATAATTCCATTGAGACTCCCAGTAATGGACACCACTGTTGAAGAGTCAGCTCACACAGGAGCAGTTCAGTGTTCTGTTTCTCCTTCGCATTACATTTAGATTCTTCCTATGTTCTGCATTCAAACAGTAATGCGTTTCCGCGTGCCCTTACCTGAGAGGGCAACTGCTTTATCACAGGGGAGGTCAGAGACAACAGTGCACAGAGAGGCCTTTCAGAACCATCAGAGAGAGCACAGGGGGATGCAAACCTCAACTTCTCAACTTCAAGAAAATGTCTGGCCAGGTTACCAATGAAATTAGCTCCTGAGCTCCTGAGAATGAAACACGATGCTCATAGGAGGGCCTCCTTCACCACTACATGGGCTCTGGAGCTGCTCCTCATGCTCAGATCCCAAGCCTCAAATCTCCCGAGGAAACTCTGCAGGCACCTCACTAAGTCTGTGCAGGCTTTTTGCTGCTAGGAGTATTAGAGCAGCTTCAGATGGTACAAATCAATGAAGGTGGATAGAAAGGCCCTGTCTGGCGCAGCCCGGCACAGAGATGAGACTGTCAGTCTAGAACTGGTGTTACAAGGGGGTTGCATTTTCCCAAGGCAATTCTCATATCTTTTTCAGTGTTTCAAAGGACGGGATTGAAATCCACTGCGGGAGTGGGGGGTGGAGACAGATACAGACAGACAGATCCACCCCTGGACAAAGCTCAGTGAAGTTCACTGCAAACCATAGGCATGAAGGGGAAAAGCACAGTTCGAATCCTACAGTGTGTAGAAAGTACAACAGTTCAATAGATCAGGTGTGAGGGGGAGGAGGGCCAGGACAGGCAGGTAAAAAGAATTTCAAAGATGGGTACAGCTCACACCCATTCATTTACTCAGATGCTTGCACTGGGAAAAAAAATGGCTGCAAGTTCACACAGCTCAACTCACACTATTAGAGAAATCTCTTTTGCGATCTTAAATAAAATCCATCACATCATGCCGTTTTCGACACGGAAACGTTACTGGAGCCTGCTCGAGCAAACCGACGATTAATGGGAAGTCAAGTGATCAAGTGAAATAAAATCAACTTAAATATTAATCATAAAATCTAGTTTAATGATTTTATCTTGTATTTTTATATTTTAAATTAGTTTCTTATAATTCATTAGTTTTCATTAAGTTGAATATTAGTGAGAGAAATTTCAAAAAATTAACTTGAAATAATTTTTGTATATAATTATTCCAGTAGGCAGGGGTCACACCCACCAACTGGCCCCCTGGCGCCGTGTAATCCCATCAATGGCCAAGACCCAGAGACTATAAAACCCATCTCCCGGAAGTGTGCCGCTGCAAATGGGGCTGCACGACATCTTATTATCTCATTCCTACTTTGGACAAACTGGCAGGCTATCACATGTAACCTGCCCACACGGCAGAGTCTGGCAAGCTCCCCGTGGCATACCCAATATGCCAAATACCAGTAACAATGATGGGTCTCATTCTCCTAACCCTGAAAGAGCCTTGAATATGGAACTTTTTAAAAAATCTCTGGGCTAGGACGAAGGAGATGTAAATTTTTCCTTTTAATCATTAATTCCTATCTGAAAATTTCTAACACTAGAAACAAATTTTGTGGAATACTGAAATTCTCACTTCAGGAATCAGTATTTTAGTTTCTTTAGTTCCCATTCTGCTTCTGATGTCTTCCTCTCTACGAGGGAAGTAAACAATAAAAGTTTTAAACTAAATGTAGTGTGTCAGTAAGGCTTAACTTTTAAAGTTGAATGTCATAGCTTTCTCTATTGGGGAAAAGGTTTTGATTTATTCTGCTCTAAATCTACTAGCTAGGCTTTTGCCAACACAATAAAAGCAAACACAGTAATAAATAACTGAATAGATCTACAATTGGCAATCCAGCTATGGTACAATTTATACAAATCCTACTTCTTACCAAGAGGAATGAAATTCTTTAACAAGTACAAAGCTAAAATAGCTCAGTGTAATCAGGAAAAAGTTCACTAGAATGAAAAAAATTCAAACTGCAACTACAAAGTTTCCCTTTTCCATCCAACAGCTAATAACTCTAGTTAGGCATACCAGAGATGTTTGATAAATATTATTAAAATAACAAAAATGACAGTGTCACCAACAACAGGTCACTTTACTTGTACTAAATGCCAACAAAAATTTTTTAATAAAGACTGGCAACAATTATATGACCTTTGGAATGTTACCAATCCCTATATAAAAGAATAGGAAGGATTCCTAGCATTGCTGGAAAATGGTAACATTGGGATTCAGTAAAGACTGGACAACGCCAAAGGTCTCAAATACGGAACTAGGAGATAAGAAGTAGTCAAGTTAACGGTACTTAGAAACAATTCAGTCTAAGAATTTCAAAATAAATATACCCAAACACATTTCATCTACTTCAATAATGCAACCTGTATATATTGCATACAGTAATGGTATAAGAGTTTCCTTCCATTATAAGAGCGCTTCAATACCACTGACTATCATTATATTTTAAAACGCTTTCCTAGGAAATATGTAACTAAAATTATTTTACAACACAAAAGTCAGAATTTTATCCACCTTATGAAAGAGCAATTAAAAACCTTTATGTTCAATTATTTTACTTTAATCCAGTGACTATAGAAAAAAAAAAAGAACGTCAAAGTCCTAAAGTCAGAAAGTAAGTAAATAGAAAGGAATTATAACTACACCATGACATTTTATTGAAATGATTCCAAAACTAAAGCAGCATAACAATACGTACTTCGATATTAATATTTTAGATTTTGGAACAGTCTGTTACTGGAAAAACACTGAAGTTTGCACAAAGATCCAAACTAAATATGGACTTATATTATTTGTTTGTCTGATGTCATACTTAAAAAAAAAAATCCTGCTTATTAAGCATACCTTGGCAAAAAATACGGTGAGGTGAGTTTCACTGCCAACAATCCAAATAGGGTATTTTGGAGATTTCAAGTAAGAACCAACCTAGAACAAATGTAGCAAGATAAACAATAAAAATGTTATATTAACTGTTAAGTATTTTTGTTCATGACTATTTGGGGCATGACTGTGTGTTCAATTCACATTAATAGAGAGTAATTGGGCAGGGAAGATTTAATCATACAGCCCAAATGCTGAATGAAAAATGAAAATGTTATAAAAAATGACAGGGCTAAGCTTACATTATATCTTTACATCAGAATACAGACTTAACACAAATAGAAATCATGAATTCAGCCCCAAGAATCACTCTCAGATTTTGTCAAGTTTGTAGTGAGAATGAGAACTCCTAGAATTTCAGCTTGTTCCCTCATGCTTCAAAACTGTAAGTTTGATAAATTAACACATTAGTGGATGTATGACTTAATAAAGGAAAAGAAAGTCTTAAAATTCCTATCTTCAAAAAACCTAGGACAATATAATAAGTTCTCTCAAGGAAGATTCGCAAATGAAATATTTAAGAATATAAAGAATCCTCCACTGGACACTTTATGTTCAAGGTTTTATGATAAAGTCTACTTAAACTACATATACTTGAAAATTATACCTACAGTCTTTAAAGATTACATATTTAATCCTTAAAAGGACAGTGTCAAAATTTAAGAGGGATGAGTTGGGTATGCTAATGAATGGTGAAACATCAGCATACCCATCAGCATAGCAACTGTTATGCTAATGGTAGGGATGTGCTGGATACGCTAATGATGATGGATACGTTAATGCAGATGGCAAAAAGGATGGTTTGGTGACAAGAGAACTAAAGCAAAACTTCATTTATGTAGATATGCACTGTGTGTCCAATTCATATTAATTTGGAGAAAAACTAGACTGCAAGATTTTATCACAAAAACCAACTGCTGAGTGAAAAGTAAAAATGTTAAGAAAGATTGTCGGGGCTAAGCTTACAATGTACCTTTACATCAGAGCAAATACAGACGTAACAAATAGACATCACAAGCTTAGCCCTAAAATATGCATACCTACATATATGTAAATAACACACATAAATATATATGAAAAGGAAATAATTTCATTTGTAATAGTGAGCACATATATTCAAAATTATACAAAAAAATGTTACTTTCATTTCTAAAGGGCAATCTGTTATTTGAGAACAGAATAGGGAAATGCTCAGATTTACAGCTAGCTAATATGATTATGCCCTTAAACTAATGCATGGTAAATGTAGATACATATTTTGAGGAAAATATCGAGAGTTGCATACAGAAGAACACAACAGTATAATTCAATTGTGTGGGTTGTTTTTTTCCCTTTTTCTTACAATGTCTTGATTCACCTCTGGGGGTGGGTCAGCAGTTCCCTTCCAAAGAGCCCAGCCCACTCTTCACAGTCCTCCCCAGGGGAAGCCGGGCAGAGAAAGCATCTGCCCCACAGCCTGCTGGATCCATAATTAGCCAGTCAGCAGGGAGCTCAGGCAAGGGAGCAAACTCTATGCCAATTCTCATTCATAAACTGCCCCGCCCACTGTGGCCCTGATTCTAAGAAGGACCCCTGTGTGGCTCTGCTTGGTAAGCCACTGAGTGCGTCTGAAAGTAACTAAGAGCTCGGTTTTTGTCTAGCAGTGTGATGTAATCCATGGATGAAAGTGTTTTAAGTCTCTAAAGGGAGAATACTGCTGCAACGCAAAAGGAAATCATAGCGAGAAGCCATGGTCTTTGCCCTAGCTCACTGGTGGGGAAAACACATTATTCCCTTCCATGTAACAGTTACAAAGGCACATTCAGAAATGCTCACAACTCTGGTGCATTTGTTTATGGGCCACCTGATCTGTATCCTGCAAGACTGGGTGTCTGTTTCCGGTCTATTCTATCAGGACAAACAACAGAAAAATGAAAAATGGTAAACACAACAGTAATCAAACTTCACCATAGTCATTATCCTTCTGGTGATAATGTAAAAGGGGGCCACTGAAGGAGACAGTCTCTGAGACCCCAGTGGAAGGAGGGCCTGAATGGGGCAACGGAGCTACCCAGGGCAAGGGTGAACGCTCAGGGCAGAGATGACAGCAAGATGACCACGTTGGTAAGAGGCCAGGCAGGACCCCGGTCTCCAGTGCCCCACAGGCCCCAAGGTGAACATTTCCCATGTTTGAACTCCACATCTAGTTCTCCTGCAACACACACACACACACACGCACACATTTATTTTTAATAGCTTTCCTGAAATATTTTTGAGATAAAAAGTGTACAACTCTAATGTGTACAACACAACATTTCCAAATATGACTACATCGTGAAAAGGTCGCCACGATCAAAGGCATGAATGAATCCATTACCAGTTTGCACATATGTTCACTTTTAGGGCACAGGAGTTGTGTGTGTGTTGGGGGGAGGGGACACAAGCTGATTCTCTGGTTCTCAGCTTTCCTGGTAAAATTAAAGACAGCGAAAATAGGAAGTGGCAGCTTTTTTAACAGTATGATCATTACCATGATCTGAACTGGATGAAAACAATTATCAAATCCATTTTCAATAAAAATCTAAATATGGTCATGAGAGAGGGTGAGATCCTACTGTGACTTAAAGAAAAAAATCAGTCTCTGCTATACAATCACCAACTTAAACTGGAAAGGAAAATTAGACTGACTTCTCTCTCCAAATCAAGATATCTTATTAGGTGCACATGATTAATGGTTTAAATACCATTTGAAACTATTTAAATTTCCCAAAGTTGTTTCAGGCCATATGTACAACAGACTCCTAATCTCAGCACTTGTACCAAGGAGCTTCTAAAGTATTCCCAGTTGTATGGGTGAGGCAATGAAGTTAGCAAGGAAGAAGCGGTGAAGAAATTCCTTTTCTCTCAATTTATTAGAAAGATATTTATATTCAAGAAAAGGCTTCTCTGTTTCATGTATTATTTTGTACTGGGTTCTCTCACCCACCCTCGGAAAGGAAATAACTTAAAACCAGGTAATGTTGCATCATGAGCTGTTTAATTCTAACCTTGGTAAGAATGTCAGTTTCCCTAAACTGACATTCCCTAAACAAAGAGAAAAATAATTGCGGTAGCTATCAATGGCAGGAAGCTAAAATATGTTGCCTCAGGAGAAAAGCACTATCCACAACAGGAGAGATGGAAAACAAAAAATATCCAAAGAATCAGAAAAATCAACTTACTTTACAGTATCTTAAAGCTTCCATCAACGTTAAGAATCCGACTGATGCCTGTTCGTGTATTCCAAGAAGTTCTTTAAAAAAAAGTTAGTAGTGTATTAGCACATGTAAATCTGAAAAGTACTTATACACACATATAAATGCACCCATACTCACTATCTCTGGACATATAAAGATATTCCACATGAAGACCATTTTTCAACTCCAAACTACATTGTAAAAACCTTGTGTATATTTGTTGTTTACATGAAATCATTATTATAGTACTTCTCAGAAAATACCATTTTTAGATTCATGGTTGGTAACTGTTACCTCAGATATACGTTATACAGATTCATAAAACTTTATATTCAATGACAAATTCTTTTAAAAATTTTTATGTGTATACATATTTCAGTTTTTGGGCCATATCCTGTGATGCTCAGAGATTACTCCTGGCTTTGCACTCAAGAATTACATCTGGCAGTATACAGAGGAATATATAGAATGTCAGGGATTGAACCCAGGTTGGCCATGTGCAAGGCAAACTACTATCTTTCCAGCCCCACAACAGCAAATTCCTTAATGAAGGCGAAAAACCCAAGAACTCACTGGAAATTTAAAAACAAAACAAAATTCTGATATTCAGGCATCGTGAAATGATTTTGATTTAGAAAAGCAAATGGCTATGCTAAGCAGAATTTGAAATTTTAATCACTGTTTAAGCTACTTGCAAAATCCTTTAGAGATGATGACCTGATACCACTTTTCTCTCTTAAATTTAGATACTGGCAATGCTCCTAAACCTGGGAAATAAAGCCAAATAAAAAAACATGTATGGTTTACTGCCATACAAGAGCTGAAAGTTTGTTAAGGAAAACGTAAGAAAAGCGTGCTCTCTCTCTGCTCACATTTGCATGCTATATCTTATAATGACGGAAGAGACGCTTGCTGTGTCGGTATTTGAGATGACCTCAGAAGCACATAAGCTGGGAACATTGGTGGTGGAGAATGGGCACTGGTGGAGGGATGGGTATTGATCATTGTTTAACTAAAATGTACTCACTAAAGTTTTTAAGTCTGTAACTGTATCTCTTGGTGATTCATTCAAAGAAGAAAAAAAAAACTTTAAAGGTTAAAAAAAAAAGAAGCACATAAGGACCTTTTTTTTTCCTCAGACAAGAAAGACGACAAAACCAAACCAAAACAAGGTAGAAGAGTAGCAAAGTAGGATCAAGAATTGCTGTAGTAAGCCGTGAAATAGCACAGTTCCTTAAAGGTTTCTAGTTTGGGGAAACTGTTGTGATTAGCTCCAAGAGAGAATTAAGACTCATGTTCTAGAGACGTGTGAGGAGAGAATGCCAAATTGTGTTAGGTAAACTGGGACTGAGGCACACCTGGGGTGCCAATGCAGAGACAGACACATCACTGCAAAATAAGACTCGGGAGCACAGCGGCCGGGAAGAGAAAGACAAGATTATTCACTGTGGAGATACAACGGTGTTGATGAATTTCATGGCTAATATATATCAAGTGGAATAACGGCAACCTGGTCATTCAAAATTTCAAAAATGCATTTATTTCTGGTAATGACGATGTCTGCTGTAAATATGATGCTTAGCACTTTGTGAGTTTTTTACCATCTGGCCATGTTTGGTCCATTTTGCTATTAAGATGCTTCTCTTAATTAATGGAAGAACATCTGCCCAGTCTCACTTAGGTTACATATATTTTACTATGTATCCTTAAGGAGTATATTCAGATGAGCACTGTTTTTTTTTTTTTATAAATTCAAAGTAAAAAGAAAACACATATACATAAGTTTGTATTTTTTCACTCATTTTGAAATTCCAACACATCGTAAAGTAAAGGCCCTCCCGTTGATCATCGATTTGCTCGAGCGGGCCCAGTAACGTCTCCATTGGAGACTTTGTTGTTACTGTGTCTGGCATATCGAATACTCTCGGTAGCTTGCCGGGCTCTCCGAGAGGGGCGGAGGAATCGAACTTGGGTCGGCCATGTTGCCTGCGTGCAAGGCAGATGCCCTACCCACTGTGCTATCACCAGTCTTTTGTTTTTTGAGAGGGTTTGGGGGTGAACCCATCAGTGATTCTCAGTCAGCGGGGCCGCAGGGCAACGCAAGGGCCTGTGGATGTGATTGCCCAGGGGCCTCCAAGGCTGCATTTGGCAGTGCTTTAGGGAACCAGGTGGTGATACGAGTGAAATCCAGGTTGGGTGTCATGCATGTGCTTGCACTGAGGTACAGTGAGGGTTCTCATGCTGTGGCTTAGGTCTCTATGCATCCGTGTGACCCTGGTAGAGATGATCAAAATGATTTTCATAAAAAAGATATTATCTGTCTGTGGTATTTGTTACTCTCTGAGTCTATGCTGGAGTTTTCCAGAGCTTAACTGACATGCTGTATTCCTACAGATGGAACCTATAAACAGGAGAATTTGCAAAGTATAAAATGATGCCTCTTGGGCCAGAGTGATAGTACTGCAGGGAGGGCGTTTGCCTTGCACATGGCCAACCCGAGTTCAATCCCCTGGCATCCCATATGGACCCCCAAGCACTGCCAGGAGTAATTCCTGAGCATAGAGCCAGGAGTAACCCGAGCATCGCTGGGTGTGACCAAAAAGCAAAATAAAATAAAATAAAATGATGCCTCTCCTTAATTCCTTTTAGAAAACAGCTATTTACTTATTAATATGTTTATACTAACAAGCAATGGGTATATATTGTTTTTAAATGAATTAATATGCATTTTAAAATCTGTCAGTATTGGCTAGTCCCGCAAGCCCCCATCCTTCCTTGGATTAATTCTCGTTTACTTGTCAATCTCTGTTCTGGAGAAGTCTGTGTTCTCTCTCCAACATGTACTTTCTCTCTCTCTCTCTCTCTCTCCCCTTACCTCCTTATAAATGAGTTTAATAAAACCAACCTTGCTTCACGAAAATAAAAATAAAATTGGTCAGTTTTAACTCCTAACAAGAAAAATACTGATCACTATTTACTTAGAAGCCACATAAGCAAAACCTTGCTGGGGTTCTCAGCACACCGCAAAACTGTGAGGGATGTCAAAACCCAACTTTCCGAAAGTCACATCAGAGCTTTCCAAGGAAAAAAAGGGAGTGGAAGTAAGAAAACTGAAGGAGAAATTGTACATGAAACCTCTCCACCTTTGAAATGTAAAAACATGTAAGGTGCACTAAATATTTTCATATTTAAAGAACGAATATGCTGAGAAACATGTTTATACTCTGATTTCTAAAATCAGTTACTACCACCTAGTGTTAAGATTAGGAACTGCATCATCTACTTCCTTGGACTTTTTTTTTTTTGTTAACTTTTATTAGTGAAACACCATGAGATACAATTGTAGACTTACAAATTTTTGTGCTTGGGTTTCAGTTATACAATGATTGAGTACCCATCCCTCCACCAGTGCCCACTCCCCACCTCCCAATGCCCCCAGCATCCCTCCCACCTCCCGCCCCCCATCCCACCCCACTCCTGTGGCAGGGCATTCTCTTTTGTTCTCTCCTTTTGGGTGCTGTGGTTTGCAAAAGAGGCATTGAGTGGGAATCATGTTCGCCTATAGTCTACTTTCAGCATGCATCTCTCATCCTGGGAGGGTCCTCCCAACACCCTTTACTTGGTGCTCCCTCTCTATCTGAGCTGCCTTCTCCCTCAGCATTTGCGGCTGGCCTCCAAGCCATGGAGTGAACCTCCTTGTACTTATCTCAGCTATTCTTGGGTGTTAGTTTCCCATTTTGTTACTTTATATTTTCCAGATGAATGCAATCTTTCTATGTCTGTCCCTCTCTTTCTGACTCATTTCGCTTAGCATGATACTTTCCATATTGTACCACTTGTATGTAAATTTCATGACTTCATCTTTTCTAACAGCTGCGTAGAACTCCATTGTGTAGATGTACCAAAGTTTCTTTAACCAGTGATCTGTTCTCAGGCACTCGGGTTTTTTTTTCAGATTTTGGCAATTGTGAACAGTGCAGCAGTGAACATAGAAGTGCAGATGTCATTTCGACTGTACTTTCCTTGGACTTTTGAATAAATGTTTAGTATTTATACTAATATACTTCTAGATAAAACAACCTAGCAGTTCATAATTGAATTATTCATATTAGGTCAGTAATCACATATGTAGTAGCACTGTCCTCCCAAATTGTGAGACTTATTGTTACTGTTTTTGGCATATTGAATACGTCATGGGGAGCTTGCCAGGCTTTGGCGTGAGGGCGAGATACTCTCAGTAGCTTGCTGGGCTCTCCAAGAGGGGCAGAGGAATCAAACCCGGGTCAGCCGCGTGCAAGACAAACGCCTTGCCCGCTGTGCTATCGCTCCAGCCCCACATATGTAGTAGTAAGGATGGTAATATTAAAAATTATTTCCTTAAAGATGAAGTTATGAAATTTACATACAAGTGGTACTACATGGAAAGTATCATGTTAAGCGAAATGAGTCAGAAAGAGCGGGATAGACACAGAAAGATCGCATTCATCTGGGGAACATAAAGCAACAAAAAGGGAGACTAACATCCAGGAATGGCTGAGATTAGTACCAGAAATTTTTCTCCATGACTTGAAGGCCAGCCACACGTGCTAGGTGAAAAGGAAGCTCAGATAGAGAAGAAAGCACCAAATAAAGGGTGTTGTGAGGACCCTCCCAGGGTGGGAGAAGCATGCTAAAAGTAGTCTATAGACCAAACATGATTGCCACTCAATGCCTCTCTTGCAAAACACAGTACCCAAAAGAAGAGAGAGAGAACAAGGGGGAATACCCTGCCACAGAGGCAGGGTGGGACGGGGGGGGATGGGGGTGGGGAGATGCTGGGACCCGTGGTGGTGGAGGATGGGCACTGGTGGAGGGATGGGTACTTGATCACTGTATAACTGAAACCCAAGCACAAATATTTATACGTTTATAACTGTACCTCATGGTGTTTCACTAACAAAAAAATAAAAAAAATTTTAAAAAAACTTAAAAAAAATTATTTCCTTGGGGGCTGGAGCGATAGCACAGCGGGTAGGGTGTTTGCCTTGCATAGAGCCGACCGGGTTCGATTCCCAGCATCCCATACGGTCCCCTGAGCACTGCCAGGGGTAATTCCTGAGTGCAGAGCCAGGAGGAACCCCTATGCATAACCAGGCGTGACCCAAAAAACAAAAAACAAAAAAACAAAAAAAATTATTTCCTTATAGGATCCATATATGTAATTTTTTTTATCTTGAAAGTGCATCATTAAGAACGTTATACAAAGTTGTAATTATAGTGAGTTCAAATTAAAATAGTTGTAATTAATTGGAAACCAAGCACAAAAATTTGTAAATCTACAACTGTACCTCATGGTGTTTCACTAACAAAAATTTAAAAAAAAAATGTAAATGATGGAGAATGGGCACTGGTGAGGGATGGGCACTGGATCATTGTATAACTGAAACCCAAACACAAAAATTTGTAAGTCTACAACTGTACCTCATGGTGTTTCACTATAAAAATTAAAAAAAAAATGGAGAGAGACAGAATTAGAGACAGAGGCAGAGAGACAGAGATAGAAACAGAGAGACAGAAGAAAAAGTGCCTGTGGTAAAGGCAGACTGGGGGTGAGGGTGAAAGGAGGGAATCTGGGGACAATGGTAGTGAAAAATGTACACTGTTGAAGGTATGTTGGAACATGGTATGATGGAAACCTAATCATGAACAACTTTGTAACTGTGTGTCTCCCTCATGAACAACTTTGTAACTGTATATCTCCCTCATGAACAAGTTTGTAACTGTGTATCTAATTCATGAACAACTTTATAACTGTGTATCTCACTCATGAACAACTTTGTAACTGTGTATCTAACAGTGGCTTAATTAAAAACCAAAAGAAAAAAAATAGTTGTAATTAAAGTGAGTTACATTTTTGTAATTACATTCTTATATATTATGACTTACAGAATTCACTTATGTATTTCCAGATCTATTTAGCTGAATACATTTTAACTGACATTTAAAAAAAAATCTGTTGAACTTTATTTCTTTAGCTTAGCATTTAAGTTTAATCATGGTTACATGTGCAGCCCTATCAACGCATAGGTGCTTTAGTCAGTGAGACTGAACACACACACACACACACACACACACACACACACACACACACACACTCATAAGGGAGAGGCCTCCCAAGCAGCACTGAGGGCCGGGGAGTAACAGTCACTATTGTAACTGACCAGTCCGTTCAGTGTGAGGGTCCCGCTCTGTAGTGTTGCCTGGGCCCATAAGTGCTCAGGGAGCCAATGAGGGAAGGAACCTGGGCCATACTGTTGCCCTGGAGCAATCTTGCGGGTGCAGGAATTTGCTTTCCTGTATTCTCCTTCGCTCCTGACTCCCACATCTCACTGCTGTCAGAATATCTACAAAAGCCCCCCTCCTCCCCACTCCAGAGAGGCCTGAAGATCCGCACGGGGACCTCTCTGCAAACCATGTGTACTCAAAATAGAAAAGAAACCCTGGCAACTCAAATGTGAATGGAACAAGCAACTAACTGAAAGCTGGGCAAAAGGCTCACAGACTCCCCTCCAAGTAAGACACAAGGACAGGCAGGGGTCTATGAAGAGATCATCGGAGAGAAACGCAAACGCAAACTGACTGCAGTGAGAAGGGGACAGCCATGACCAAAGGGCTCTTCGCTCCCTCTCTCTCTCCCCTTTCCTCCCCCCTCTAGCTCTCTCTCCCCCCCCTTCCTCTCTCCCCCCTCCCTCCCTCTCTCCCCTCTCTCTCCCCCTCTTCCTTCTCCCCCTCCCTCCTCCTCTCTCTCTCTCCCTCCCCTCCCTCTCTCTCTGTTACTCTCTCACTTCCTCAGGTTTAAGACAGTGATTTCCTACCACAGGTGCACCCAAATGGCTGTGCGGACTGTGTTAAGTCAAATCTATCAGTCACACAGGAAAACGTAACATTATTCCAGACACCAGCGATGTGGACAGTCACACTGGGGGAAGCAGGGAGCAGAATGGGACAAGCTGCGGGAAGCTGGGGGAGAAAGAAGCTGGGAGCTGCTGGACAATGAGGTTCCCTTCCGCAAGGCTGCATCTTTCACCCAAAATTCTGTTCTAAAGGCAGATCTTATGGTAAATGTTTTCCCGTAGGAAAAATGAAAGAAAAAAAGACGCTCAAAGAAAAAAAAAAAGTCAGGAACATCTGTGTAGACTAGTGCCGACGACTGGTGTCAGAGGCAGCCCAGGCCACTCGTTGACCAAGATGTCAAGACTCCCCTGGGACGGGAAGGCCCAGGATGAGGCAATGAAAGACTGATGGTCAAGAAGCCCCACAAACCAGAAATAGAAGTGTTTCTTCCATCCCCAGGCCCTAAGCACAGGAGAGGAGCACAACACAACATAATACAAGACTTAAAAAGAACATTTGCTCCCTACCCTCTGGTTCCTAATCTCAATTGTTCTTATAGACCCTACTAACTGCTAAATTTACACAGACTTTCCTAAGTTCTCATTCTCCTGGAATGAGTCCGGTGGGTCACTTAACTACTCCATAAAGCAGACAAGGAATTTGGGGTTAACCTCTCCTTCTTAGCTGCTCTCTATACATGAGCAAACAGCTGTCAGATTGCTGTGACTGCAAGGAAGACTTTCAAGTCATCTCACACATATATTATAGCACTCACGAACGGAACAGCATCCAAGGCAGTGCATCAGAATGATGAGGCTTATCAGCTCTGGAATCAGAACTCTGCAGTTCACTGTCAACTCATTAAGCCCCATGAAATGAAACCTCACACTCCAGAGCTGCTGCCTCATTTCCCACAACTACAGAGAATGACCGTCAGGGCGTTTAAGAATAAAATGAGAGGAGAGAAAGCGGAAAAGCTTGGGAGGGGGGGGGGTGGGGGGGGGAATCCATATATTCATTCATCTGGTACCAACACTACAGGACTTGGCATTATTTAAGAAATGGATATTAAGGCTTTATTAATCATCAGTCACCAATAGTTGTTAACTGTTGTGTTGTTGTCTTGGAGCCACACCCACCAGTGCTTGGGGCTGACTCCTGGCTGTGGTTAGCATCACGCCAGGTGGTGCTTGGGGGACCCTCTGGGGAGTTGGGGATCAAACCTGGGCTGGCCACATGCAAGGCAAGTGCTTGGCCCACTGCACCATCTTTCTGGCTTCTGTAATTGCTTTTTAAAGAAAATTAAATATCTGAGGACAAAGCTTGCTTTTCCCTCTGCCAGAACAGTGATTTTGGTCAATTGCTCTGTTTCTCTTCTCTACTGATTCAATAAGACTTGTTTCAGAACCTAATAGTTATTGAACCTTAAGTTCAAATGCCCGACTCACTGCTGAAACCAAGAGACTGTACGTTCCTGCAGGCTCTTTCACTGAGGCAAGCAGGGAACTGTGCAATGGAGGAAAAGTGGTGGCACCCACCACTGAGTGTAGGGAGAAGCAATTTATACCTTTGCTTTCTGATGGTGGAGGGAAAAGAAGTCACTAAATTATTCGAGCTTCATCTTTTGTTGCTATAAATTGAGGTTAAAGAAAAAAAAATTATATTGCTTCACACAAAACACATAAATACTAGTTTCTTTCTTCTTCCTATGCCAACTTTATCAGTCTCCTTCACATTTGTCTAGACAATTTGCAATCATATTTTTTATAAACTTTTTTTTTTATTAGACACCATCAGGTACAGTTGTACCTCAACTGTACCTTACAAATTTTGTGCTTAGATTTCAATTATACAATGATCAACTACCCATTCCTCCACCAGTGCCCATTTCCCACCACCACGGATCCCAGTATCCCTCCCACCCCCCATCCCCCCCTATCCCACCCTGCCTCTGTGGCAAGGCATTCCCTTCTGTTCTCTCTCCTTTCGGGTGTTGTGGTTTGCAAAAGAGGCATTGACTGGCAATCATGTTTGACCTGCCTCATTCTAACGGATTCTAAAAATTCACATTCGTATTCTAAGTCTGTTATTTCTCTGTTCAGTTGCCTTTGACGATGCTCTTCTTAAATTTTGCCAAATGAAATGAAACATCTCGTATATTCAAGGCGGCGTGTGTTTGCCCAACTCTGTGACCTTCCTCCGAGTAGCTGCTAGTCCATCACGGGCACGGCGAGAGTCCCTGGTCTGTAGCTCTGGAAATGTTTCCACTGTCATGCTGGGCCACAGCACTGGGAGATTCTGCACAGCCCAGCCCTGTGCGCTGATGTATTTCTAAGCCCCAAGAGTGACACTGCAGTGAGGATAGCACGCCACTGCTTAAGGGACTTGGATGCTTCCCAAGGTTCCTGAAGACAGACTTTTATTTTATATTTTTTAATTTTTTTAATTGAATCACGTTGAGATACACAGTTATAAAGCTGTTCATGATTGGGTTTCTCTCTCTCTCTCTCTCCCTCTCTCTCTCTCTCTCCCCCCCCCCCCCCCCCCCCCATCTCCTGTCTCTGTTCTGTTTCTGTCTCTCTCCTTTCTTTCCTCCCCTTTCCCCCCTTTCTGGGCACTATGGTCTAAAACACAGATACTGAGACGTTATCATGTTTGTGGAAACAGACTTTTAGGCTTTTTAGAACAAACTCAAAATACCTGCAACTCTCAAGTTTTACACAAAATGTAACACTGCTACCCCAATTTCAGACATGACTAAAGTCAAACAGCAAGAATTTGAACCCGTCCATATTTCCGTTTTAAGAACAGTTAAAGAACTGTTCTATTACAAAGTATGTATTCCCTAAGGAAAATGGAGCCAATACAGAGATGCAGAGTCAATACATATTCCACTATGTCCTACTAAAATATTAATCCTAAGAGAAACACAATGAAGAAATGTACTCACTCATTCCTGAGCATTCTCTGTCACCATCCCAAACGTTGGAGACGGCATGGCCCGTCAGCAGGAGGTTAATTAAACTTTGGCTATTAATAAAACATCAAAAAATAATTAAAACCAAAATAAGGTTCATCGATCTCTTTGGGAAAACATAATGACTTTTTTTACATTAAATTAGGTTGTGTAAAAAACAAAGTGAAGAAAAGCCTGATGCTTTTCTCCCTACCACCCAATACTCCTGAACACCAGCCGTGCTAACTGGGTCACAGTGGAGCCTGTGCCTCCACAATCTTACACATTTAACAAATTCACATGAGAACTAAATAATGCTTAGGTGGATAATTTACTTCACGTACAAAGTCATCTTTTAAAATGCATATATATAATTATCTTGTGTTTGATGGAAGATCTACAATTTTTTTTTTCTTTTTTGGGTCATACCCGGCGATGTACAGGGGTTACTCCTGGCTCTGCACTCAGGAATTACTCCTCGTGGTGCTCGGGGGACCATATGGGACGTTGGGAATTGAACCCGGGTCGGCCACATGCAAGGCAAATGCCCTTCCTGCTCTGCTATTGCTCTAGCCCTGATCAACAAATTTGGGGGCAAGGAGTTGTTTGTTTGGGGGCCACACCCTGAGTCAGCTCAGGGCTGACTCCAGATTCTGTGATTAGGAATCACTACTGGCTTCTTAGGGGGCCATCCTGGGTCCGTCCCATGCTGTGTGAACACCGTCCCCACTGCTCTATGGCTCCGGCCCCAAGATCTATGAATTTCAACTGGCACATCAGAAAGATCTAGAGATTGACATGCTTATCAGTATGCCAATGATCTTAGTACAAACCACTTTTAAAGAGCTTGAGAGGAAAGTAGTCTCAAAGAAAAATAGGCATATTTTTCCTCCCAAGCAGGAAAACACAACTAAGCACATGCTGATTTCTAAGTCAAATGAGTAAAACTGCACACATTAGAAAATTTTATTAGCTGAATATCCAGCATAATCTGTTAACATATTTCTGCTTTCATTTTAAAACCAGAAAATATTTTTGCTCCATAAATACAATCTACAAATAAAACTAAAGTGGAAGTTACCATTTCATGCCAAAAAACAAGCTATGCATCCAGTACCAGACTGCCAAAATTCATACTCAATAAGATAAGCCAGCAATGGGGTTCCCTCTTAAGTTACTGAAAAATGAAGCCCACTGAAATTTAAAGAATTTTAATTACCTGCCATGTCCATATACAGGATCTATCAAGGGCTCACTTGAATCTTCAATTTCATTTTTTATGTTTTCAATGCCCTAAAGAAACCAAGAATTCATTAGCTTACCTTTTCAAAATTAAAAATAAAACTTGTGACAGAAAAATTTCAGTCTGCAGTATAAGTCAACAGAACACAATTACAGGAGGTTCTCAAATAACACTGATTCAATGTTATTTTTTGCTACAATGTTTGTGAGAAAACACTTTGCCTCCTGGCTGTGACCAGCCTGTGAAGTCCACCTGGGTCTGGGATCAGGACCCATAGTCTCTGCCCGTGCATCTCCGACTGGAAGCAGCCACGTGGGAAAGGAAGGACAGAATGCAGAAGAGATGGTTTCAGAGTGTGTTTCATGTATTTAGAAGTTTGGTGATACCTTTTGTGACCAGAAACCATGGTAACTTATTAACTTTTGATCCTCTCAATTAGGATATGGCCGAATTGATTTTGTCTTGGTCATCTTGCTTAAAATTCTATTTCAACGAATTTATCAACTGTGTTTAAATGATCCAAAATGAGCGAAATTATCAACAGTGTTTAAATGAGCAAGATGTGAATAGCAGGTGCAGAGATGAGAGTGGTCATCACTCTCTAAGAATATCTCTGATTTTCATTTCGGGGGGGGGGGGCTTCTGAATAAAGAACATCAAGAGACTCGTGGGTAATAAGGCTAATTCTGAATAAAAGGATCTGCAGAGAAAACGTTTACATTGCAAGAGGAAAAAATGATTAAATGTACAGTTAACATACATTTTACTTTATGCTACTATAAAGTCAGACCTAACATGCTTGCTAAGGCAACCGTGCATTTTCTTAAAAACTCAGTGGAACAGGGTTATTGAACACTCAGGAACATATCTGAGTGCTGAGAGGTCAATCTAAATACACATAAGATGACAAAGAGTTATTTTAAATTGTGTCCTCAGGTGCTGCTCATTCAAGGATGTACTGAAAATATGTAAACTTGAAGGTCATGAAAACCAACGGGCTCATATTGATTTTCTATTATTAATATAATCTTTCTAATGCTCCCATTTTGAATCTAATCTAATGCTCCCAGAAGGCACTCAAGTCGCCAAAGATCTAGATACTGGACCAGTATACAGCTCAGTCATTTTTAAAATTTTATCAATTCCAAAATGACAAAGGTTAGCGGCCACTTGCTGCGCTATGCATCTAACTTTAAACTACTGGAGTTACTGAATTATAGGCCATTTCAAAAGATGAGAGATAATTTTTTAATATAAATGATTGCAAGGAGGGACAAACTAGCATGAGGTCCTGCCCTTGCCTGCTTATTAACAATATGAATGAGGCACCGATGAAACGGGAATGAAGAACTAAGAGACATGATCATCAAAGGGTCATCATTTCTAAGACCAGCTCAAAGGATAACGAGACACAAAGACTCACGGGCTGTAAAGGACAGAAGACAGCGGAGGGTCACGTAGATAGCTCAATGGGCTGTGGGAATGCTTTGTGTGCAGAAGACTCAGGCTCCTCATTTGGGTACTTGGTGCCAGTTCCCATCCCTGGCACCACATACTCCCATGAACACTCCGCCAAGAGTGACCCTGAGTAGAGTCTGGAGCTTCTGAGCTCTGCAGGGTGTGGCCCCCAAAATAAAAATCAAAATGAAAAGCAAGACAGGAGATAGGAAAAGTTTTGAGCACGGGGATGGGGGGACTGTGTGGGGTTTAAGGCGCTTGCCTTGAATGTGGCCAACCCTGGTTCTGTCCTCGAATCTGCAAGGTCAGATCACCTAGGCACAGAGTTGGGAGCAGGTCCTGAGCAACAGCTGAGTGCCATGTAACCCACTTCCACCAATGTTTTAAGCATGAACAACTGGGAGACTACGAATAGACAAGAAAATCTGGTGAGCTGTTCCCCTTCCAGACTGCCATCACTGCTGTGTATCAACACCATCCCATTTTTATTCTTTCTCTTACATAAGCTAATTTTTAAAAATTTCTGAATGTAAAGTATCGCTCAAACATGTTCTTTATCTTCTCCATCACTGCCCTAGCTGCTGTTCACCTGTATGAATGATCACTTTTCTAGTCTGCCTGACCCTCAGTCATACTCCCTTGTCTAGCACAGCTCACCCCAGCTTAAGCACTCTCTTACCAATATTAAGATTACTTTCCTAATCAACATATATATTTTTTTGCCAGACAGTATTTAAAGCAGTTTTCACACAGTATACAAAGACTATCATATCCTAAGATCTCCGTGTGTGTGTGTGTGTGTGTGTGTGTGTGTGTGTGTTTGTATGTGTACACACCCAGTATGATCTTTACAATTGCTATTGTGGTATATAACACAGTGTTAATATGAAACTATTTATAATGCCTCCGAAGTGCAATAATCCCAACCCAGCATGTCTATACTTTCTCTTCCGACTGCTTGGGGAATCTTTTCACACGCTATCATCTAGAAAACTTTCCCTTTTCCCTCAAGAACCCATATCCATCAAATGGCACCAATTCTATAACCCAGATCTGCCCTTGATTTCGCCCAATAAACATCTCCAAAGTTTCCCACAATGCTTTGTGTGTGGAACAAACACCACAATACACTGCCAAGTTGGAAGTAATTAATGTGTCCATTTTTTACAATACCAAACAGGAATTATTACTTAAAAAAAAAGTGAACCCATACAAAGAGCCTGGCAATGCTCAATAAATGTGTCAAATGAAATTTGATTTCAAATATGATAAATGTAGTAGGATACACAACTGAGATGAATGAGGATGGCACTTGGGGAAAAAGGTTGGAGTAGAAGTGTACATGGTGGAATTAACCACATAAGGCAAGATGAGAGAATATAGAACATCCCTAAACATACAAGCATAATGATGTAGGGACTGGAATTTCTGCAGTATAAACAGATTTCAGGGGGCCAAAGAGATAGTATAGTGAGTAGGGAGTTTGTCTTGCACATGGCTATCCCGGGTTTGATCACCAGCTTTCCATATGGTCCCCCAAGCATGCCAGGAGAGTGAGTGCAGAGTCAGGAGTAACCCCTAAGCATCACCAGGTGTGACCCAAAAAGAAAACAAACAAACAAAAGCTTTCAGGGGGACATTTAGGAACATGTGATAACAGGAAAAGATGGAGAAGTTATCAAAATAAAAAGAGAAGAATTGGGATGTCATAGGAGAATATGTATAATGATTTCTTAAGGAATAGAAGTTCAAAAGCTTGTAAGATGGGGGTTAAAGGCTCAACTGCTATATAAGGCTAAGGACAAAGAAGGTAACATTCAGAATAGGGAGCACTTCATCATTAGAAAATAACTGGTAGCTTCTGCAAGTCCAGAAGATTGAGGGGGAGAAAGTAAATGTGACAGTGAGGAAGAAAGAGAAGCTGATTTCCTTATTATTATCATATGAGATGACTGTTCTCAGATTTAGGAATGACATCAAGAATTCAATTCCCCATTACAGCAGGAAAAACAGTACTAAACTCAAACTACCAAAGCCAGAGGAAGCATCTTTGCAAACACACCTTGGTCAGTAACACAGAATACAGAAAAAGCAATACTCCGAATTTGTTTCCCCACATTGAATACTGATCCAATACAGCATCTTTTAATTCTGACAAACTTCTGAATGATCTTTTTCTGGGGGGGAAAAAGAATGAAATATTAGTGCCATGATGAAATTGACTCCGCATTCATAAATGAGAAATTTTTAAAAATTATCCTGTATATAAAACATCTACTAACAGAATATTTTTCAAGTGTCTCAAATCTTCTAACACAAATATAGCCAGTAAGAGCAATAGTTAATTGCAGACAACGATCAACTATATACATAAAAGTAATTTTTCGGTGGTGCCAGGTTTGAACCCAGGGCTTCACACATGCAAGACAATTGCTCTATAGCCAAGCAACAGCCCTGGTCTTACTGTGACTCAATGTAAAATATGACTGCTGTGTGGCAGGGAATCTCTCATCTTTTAGGTAAAGCATCTTCCCAATAAATTCTTTTTTTTGGAGGAGCACATGGTTTGGGCCACAGCCAGCAAAGCTGAGGGTCTATTCAGGGCTCCAGGCTTAGGAGCCAGCCCGGTAGTTATCAGGGGACCATATGTGGTGCAGGCATTGAACCAGGGTCGGCTGCAAACTAGGCAAATGCCTTACTTCTGTACTTCTGGCCAGGCACCGAGAAATTCTCTCCATAATTCCACTATTATTTGAAAAATGAAGTCACTTTCTTCCAAGAGCTGTTGAAGACCAAACAAAACTTGGCTTTTTAAAATATGAAAACTATCTGACAAGTACCCCAATACCCAAACTAAAATGTACATTTGTGGTTTCTTGTAAAAGAAATTAGTATACTGCATATTTCAAATGCCACCAATGTATCTATCAACAGCTCTCCTTATCTTTTTAATAATGTTGTTTTTACTCTCTAATGAAAATATGGCTCTTAACATTTACAGAAAGCATTATTTTGAAAAATAAATAATTTGAAACTTATTCTACTAAAAAAATCTGTATATGCACTCAGGGAACAAGCAGCTAAATGATTTTTCTCATGACACAGAAACCTTTATTTTAAAAAGTGCATTTGGCATTTAATTTAGGAATTTGATGATTTTAACAACACACTTACAAACTATTGTTTAACTGCAAAACAAATAAAAGCTCTAACATGTAAATCTTAAGGTCCTTATCACATTATCAACAAGCTAAAAATGGCAATGTGTCCACAATGTTAAGTATTTTAAATGTTCTGATGTTACTTACTGAATTAATGCATGAAATCGCTCAAAGCCAAGCTCTTCGACAGCCAAGGCAGCTATACATAAAAGACACTTTTCAGCACTACACATGGCAAATAAATGACACAAGATACACACAGCAGACTGTAAATACTTTCGAGCAATCAAATGTTTCCCTATGTTCTTACTCCCTTAAAATTCTCAGTTTATTTAATTTTACTATAACATACAACTCTATTTCAGCATCTTAGTTACCGTGAAAATAACTAAAATGGGTATAATACTGAGAATGTAAAAGGGTGATTTAAGACAAACATTTCTTTTCAATTTACTTAGGTTAGGAGCTTTAAAAATACGAGGAATTATTAAGTCACAGTGCTTCACATGTCAGTAATATGTGCTGCACTTTTGGGAGTCTTTCGAGTCACAGATCCAAATAAACTCATCATAGCTTAGCTTCTTCGAATAGAAAAGTCTTTAGTTTTAATGCTCAACTACTAAACAAAGGTGTATAAGATGGCATAGCACTTTGAAAACACAGGTTCAACCTCAGCCTTTTTTAAGTTTGTTTCCCCATTTATTTACACAAATGTTGGGTTTCCAGTAACACTGAGATGTATTAAGATGGCATAATTTAAATGGCTTTTAAAATCAAAGAAAGTCAAGACCACAGTCTTCAAAGGGAGTGTGTGTTCAGCACTCAAGGACATGCCAGGCCCCCTTCCCCTGGAAGCAGGTCTCTCCTCACTTCCTCCTCCAGACGGTGCTACCAGCCTGGGTAAAGAGCAGCTCAGAGCACAAAGAATCTTCCCGAGAGCATGGGATAGTCAGTCTAGCTGAGGTTTAGCCCAGAGAGATCCTGACTCCAAGATAAATAAATGACTTTAAGGACCACGGAAGGCCGATTAAAACGCCCATTCTGATTTGTCAAAGGAACAATGGTCAAAACCTTTAATAAGGACTTTCAAAGGTATTCTCTTTTGAAAATGTATGCATTTAAAAATAAAACTTTTCTATTTACACTTTTAAAATGTCCCATCATGTTAACTTTTCAATGCTTTTTTTTAATTTTCAAGTTAAATTACTAGAATGTCTAGAAATTCAAATGTACGTAAATGATTTCTTCATCTGTTTGGGAAACAAACTGAAGCTGAACCTGAGCATTCACTACTGCAAACAACTGCATTACCAACAAGCCAAAACTACACACACCACACAAGCCAATGAAAGTAATGCTTGTACAGAAGGTCATATTGACAAGGGGTGGGGGTGGGGATTGCTTCACACGTAAAATTTCAAGATAAAGTGAAAATTCTACCTAACCTTTTGTAAACTGTACTGATTACTCTGCAGTGCTTATCTAATATTTTTGCTGGATCTACATTTTGAGAGTAGACATATAGTAATTTAGGGAAAAGAGGCAAGCAAAATAAAAAGCTTAGCAGGCAGGATGGCAGAAAAAAAATAAAACACAAGAACATAACTGGGAATAAGGAAAGAACAGGTAAAATAGATTGTTATAATGGAATACAAATTTTAATATAAATGAGCTCATCTGTCAATATCCAAGGTATAGTCTCAATTTTTCAGCTAAAACTTCTAAAACTTATGCAATATTAAAAAACATCTGAAATATGGTTTACTTTCTTATTTTAAAATGAGGCTAAGTAAGTAAAACTTTCTGAAATGTATTTTTTGGAGAGAAATCTCAATATAATATGCCCAGCTAAATTCACTGCTAAAGTCTCAAAGTTAATCAATTATAAAGTCATTTAATCTACAGCAAATCTCACTTCAAAAATGCATGTTTATAGAAGGCACACAGAGTATACTGTCAAATAATTTTTTAATGCTGCAAAGTATTTTTGCTCCTTTCTTACACAGTAGTATAGAGACTGGCTTCAAGTACATATTCTTTAAAACAATTTTTGTCTCCTCCTCTCCAAATTCAAATATTTTAAATGAAACTCCTCGTTTTATTCAACTCCTAGCAATTAGGAGTTAAAGAGCAAATCATAAGCCAATTGTCCTTATGACTATTTTTCCACTTTGTTTTCTTAAAATACGTTGACTTCTTTTTTGAAGGGGTATATTTGTAAGGCCTAACAGAAAAGCATCATTTAACTGTTAATATTGTTTTAAATTTTGGTTTGCAAACTTAGTATGAGCATTTGCTGCTACAATTGGAAGTTAAAGAGCAAAGTCCCTGATATCATAGAAACGTTTCAGCCTGTGAAGACAAGAGTCCCAAACAAGTCCTATACACAAACACATATATCCATCATGAGCAACTGCAATATATTTTCTGAAAATAAGGTGTCCAATTTTCTTAAAAACAATTTCCATAGAGATGGTCATTAATGAAATGCAACAGTAGAATTCAGTTACTGGTAGAGGCACCGAGGGTTACCAGTTATCAAATGCCACCTATTAGCCACCTATCAGGTGATTCCTGAAAACAAAGAACAAAAAAGCAATTCTTTTATCTGGCTTTGTCACTACTAGAAGCATCTTTCTAGCTCATTATGGTAGTTTTCAGGTCAGTTACATCACAATTTTCAAAGGCTAACGATCACAGAATATGTAATTTTTATGAATGAGAAAGTTTCACTAAAAAAGAAATCTTCAGTGAAGGCGCAATTGAAGCCCATTATGAAAACTTCTTTTAAATAATTCAAATGCCAGCAATGTCCAAATATTCAGGAGAAAAAGAAAAACCATCTTAGAGAAAATTGTCCTTCTTCATTGTTATTCTAGAAAGCAACAGAAGATATTTCAGAAAATTTCTGTCATCTCTGCCAACCTTTTCCAATACCAAATAAAACATGAAAGCTTCTGAAGCCACAGCACGTTAAAAATAATTCTTTAAACTTTCTAATGAGAGTGGCAAAGCTCAAGAGACTATCATAAAGCTGCAGTAAAAATTTTAAGAGTTTGAGCTGCATTTCCACTTTCCCCCTTAAAATGAAAGCAAATGTAAATGCTGTATCCTTGAGCAATTATAATAATGAAACTGGAAATTAAAAAAAAATAAGGTTTCATGAATTCATCTTTGTTGTTAAAAGGAAAATTGTTACAGAAACTGAATATACTTCCCTTCAAATTTTTCAACAGAGCCATTCAAACAAAGGTCCAGAGTGAAACTTCAGGACATAAAAATGTATCTTACAAGGATGTTCCACTTGGCAGCTGGACTCCGCAGGCCCCCCAGAACCACTGGTACTTCCATCAGCTGTCTTTCCTCGGAGCCACGACACCAAGCAGTAGGGTCCCGAGTTGTCACAACAAGCACTTTCTAAAATGTCACATAATGTATGACATAGGAGTTCCTTCCGCTCCTCCTCTAAAAATAACCAAACGGAGGACATTATAATGGGGGTGAGGCGGGGGGATAGTTTTGTCAAGCCCGTGCTCACTTACTGATGTGAAATCAAGCCTTGTAAGTAGCAGAAAAAATACCCATAGAAAAACACATGTCCAGTGTTCCCTTTGAAAAATAAGGTGCTGGTGGGTGAAAAAGCTGCCACTTCTTAAACGCAGCCATCAATTAGAAAAGGAACTGTGGGAAATGCAGAAGCATTAGACGGGGAAAGATCTCCTTGGGTCCTTCTGTTCGGAGACACCCCCCATCCCGGTCAGGCTGCAAACGGGGTGATGAAGTCACAGTTTGCTGCATTACAGAGGCGGGCACAGGAAAGCCCGCTGAGATTCTATTTTTTGCCCTTCCTTTCTGAATCCGTCTAGTGTCTCTGATCTCACTGTCCCACGGGGGGCAGGGGAATGAGGCAGCACACCCTAGGCACCGAGAATAGCATGGCCCATGCCATCAGCAGAGACCGCTGCAGCTCTGCCGCATAACACAGAGCTATGAATCAGAAGGTTCTGGACATGGGGCTGCAGAGGCCCAAGAGTTGACGCACACAGAAAATAGCACAAATACACAATTTCCTCCCAAATCTTAACCCTTTTCAAGCTGTATTCATCTCGTAACACAATCTCCCTTTCTGAATTTGCGTAGAGCTATATTATTTATAATATATATGATTACATATAGCATTATATAACATGTAATACGTAACATGTTATACATATCTTATACATGATATATATGATATTTAATGTATTATATATAGTCCCTAGGCTGGAGCAATAGCACAGTGGTAGGGCATTTGCCTTGCGCACGGCCAACTTGGCAGACCTGAGTTCAATTCCTCTGCCGCCCCTCTCGTAGAGCTCGGCAAGCTACTGAGAGTATCTCGCCTGCACAGCAAAGCCTGGCAAGCTACCCATAATGTATTCGATATGCCAAACACAGTAACAACAAGTCTCACAAGAGAGACGTTACTGGGCCCGCTCAAGCAAATCGATAAACAACAGGAGAACAGTGTTATGTATAGTCCCTATATCAAAGGAGGTTGATATAGCACCTGCAAAGAGGTTTCTTTCTCCAAACGGATCACAAATCCGCTGAAGGCAGGGACTGGACCACTCACTTTCTAACCACCACTGCATTCATCATGTGGAGGTCAGCTAAGAAAATGCAACACAAACATCTTCAAAGTCAATTCCATGCATCAAGTTTATTACTAACATGTTCTTGCTAACAGCAACTCTTCAACAGTTTCATCTTGACTAAAATGGACTTCTAGTATTGGCTATTTCTTAATAAGAAGCAAGATAGCAATACTTTCACTTTTATAAAAATCACTAGCAGATCCCATGGGTGTGGTTTAGCAGGGACACCGTTTTTATAACACATTCTACCTTCTTCCAGAAGTAGTTATGAGGTTCTCATAAATTTGGGCCAGTGAAGGGAATCTGTGTAGACTGTCAAGTGGAACTATAGTGTCTGTCACCACTGGGCTACACCCTCTCTGCCCCCTAATGGAACCAGACACCAGCAAATAGGACAGCTTCATTTTCGATTTAATTCAGAAAGAACCGCAGTGTTTTGTATTGTCTAAGGCATTATACTAGAAGAGGCAAAAATACAATAAATTGAGTTCTTTAAGACAAAACAAATATAAATACCATATTCCTTATGGTATATTATTATTTGAGGAGCTGCACTATGTTTAGCAGGAGGTACAAGGTTTTTTCCCCCCTGAATTGTATTATTCTGTCTTATATTTCCCAGTTAAGAAAATCAATTTTGAAATGACCTATCTTTAAAATTTGGAGTCACTATTCACAAAACGTTCTCAAACTTTTGAAAAGAACCTGTCATTTTAAGAGACAATTATAATTAAACTATTACCAATAAATGCTACCTGGATCACCCACAAAAGGAAAGACGGGGTAAAATTCATGGAAGACAGCCATCCTACCTGGGCAATCCCTCCAAGATGACTTCTCAGAGGAAAACAGGAGCTTCTTCAAAAGAAATGCCTTTATACAATGAAAGCAATAGTTATTAGAATACATTTTTATAAACATACCTCAAATTATTATTCACTATTAGGGTAAATAAAATCATTTGTATTCGCTTTCTGATCTTACCATTTCAAATGCTTTCCTCCTCATATTCAAGAGTAACCGTGAAGTTGTTATTTACTCAGAATATACTACCATAAACTTGCTTTTATATTCATAAAATAATTTTTCCAAAAATCATTATCACCTGGCAAAAAAGAACTGATGCAAAGTATCAGGTGTATCACAGGGAAACAAAAGAAATCCACTTCTCCATGGACAACAAGAAGGGCCCATGGGAAGAGGAACATGTCTTCTTCCATCCCCTGGGGTGAGACCCATCCCAGCTGAGTCCTCCAGCTCTGCGGCTCCGCTTGGAGAGCCATCAGTCTTCACAGGCAGCTCCGAACCCCTGATCTGACCGCAAATGCTCTCAGCTTGATGCCTTCCTAATTTTCTTCTGTTAGTAAGCTCAGCTGCCCTGGTGGCTAGACTGAAAGTAGTTTGTGGTGGTACAATGTTTCCTTCTCAAAGGGGGTTGAAGGGCTATTTTGTACCCTCCTTGGGCTCCACCTACTGTACCTGAATTTCTCCCCAGCCAATTCAAGATGAAGAGAATACCATGGCAATGACTCACAGTGTCTGAAGTTAGCCACCTACAGGTAAGGCCTCCTTTTAATAAGGCAGCACAGGGTTTGAATTCAGTCCACCACTTTACTCATTCACATAAATACAGCAGGGCTGGAGAGATCATACAGTGAGTAGGGTGCTTGCCTTACACGTGACTGACTTGGATCGAATTCTATCACTCCATTTGGTCCCCTGAGCCTGTCCAGCATAATTCCTGAGCACAGAGCTAGGAATAACCCTTGAGCATCACTGGGTGTGGCCCCTAAACAAACAAAAATACACATATGCAGAGCACAAACTTAGGATTCTGTAAGGTAATCAAAGTAATACACGTAGCACAGTGACTTGCATAGGTCACTGGCATAAGGAGTCATTTCGAAGTATTTTAATGAAATAATAAAATATAAAAGAAGTTTACACAGACAACAATAAAGTGTTTCTGATTTTTACCTAAAATGAAAGCAATCATAGTTGAATACTGTAACTACATTACACACTTTTGGAAGAGTGAGGGGTGTCACCACTGTTTCACCATTACTTCACTCCGTTCCCATGCCCTTTTGCTAATGGGCTTCCTTTAGCCTTTCACACTTGATTTACACCTGATCACATGTGAGAAGCATACTAGATATAGGACTGATTGATGCTCTCTCTTTTCCCAGAGAATTAATAACTATTCTTAATAATTGCCTATCAAGCCATCAAAACACCATTATTCCACATTTAATTTACATGGTTATATAGTAGGTTGTTAAGCTTTTGCTAAAATATCCAAGCTTTTTGAATACAACCTCTTACATATCTATTTGGGATTATTTCTATAAGATCCATATAAGTAAAACTACTTCATCAAATCATCTTTTTAGGTTTCAATTATAATGTAAAAGCTTTCTTCCCAAAATCAAAGTATAAACTTCTACCACATAGCAATCAATCTACTCATCCACGTACTATGCTCTATGCCAATTATTTCATATTTAAGGATTGCGAAAAGTATTCGATAGACACCAGTGATTTTTATTTGCAGGTTTTTGATCCCTAGTGAGAATGAATATAGCATACCAAGATTCAAATATATGTAAGCCAAACTAAGTCTATCTTTTGACCAAAGAAATTTTTGCTTTGGCAAAGCAAATTTTCTTTGAAAATTATTTGAGTCACTACCAGTGTTACTCCAAAAGGACAAAGCTATAAACTAGAATAGTATAAACTGTGAATTTACATTAAAATTTTATTAAGTTTTAGGCCGCAAAAATTAGGAAGTCATCTTTAATGTGTTGGAATTACTATTTTAATAGACCAAATAAAAAGAGCACCATTGCTGTGAAGCACAGGCCTCCCCTCTAGAATGTTCTTATTCAACAGAATCATGAGCTCCTGAGCTTCTGAACATCGGACAGAACCTTTGATCTTTTGGAAAATAAAGTCGACCTGTTAGCGCAGTTCTGATTCCATTTTTATTTGGGGTATTTATTGCAACTGCAGGAGTAGAAGAGAAACCCCAACTGAGCGAGCCTGATGGGAGACAGTAGTGACAGGAAGTCGAGCTGGCATAGTCTGAATACAACCTCCGGGGTCCTGGAGGGGGTCTATTACCTGGACGGGTGCGAGGACAGCACAGGGTCCGCCTTCAAACTGTTCAAGCGCCGATGCCTCTGAGTCGCTGAACACAAACCCTACAAACAAAAGCAAGTTGCTAAGATTAAAAGCGGAATCCAAGTTGGCAGCCAAACGCATTTGGGGGTAGATGAATGTCGTCGTTTTGATGCACTCTGCTGAGAAAGAGCCCTTGCCACGACAGCCAAATGCCTGCAAGTGGGCTGGGCACAACCCCTGTGGGGAGGAAAATGGAAGAATCCTGTAAGATGCAGGATGGTGTGTCCCCTCCGGAGGGCATGCGAACAGATTCTGTACTGGGGGACTGCGGCGCTGAGGGTGGTGTCCTCGTCAACAGATGCGACTCGGGCTCCTATAGGCCCTTTCCCATAAGCATCTATTTTAATTTCAATCTCTGATCACACTCTTTGGCTAGAAACAAACGCATCATCTGGTGGGCTGGGGAATGGATCGGGGTCCAATAGTTTCAGACTGAGAGTAGCTAGCAAAGCTCTCCCAGGCGCCTGGGCTCAAAGGGGAGAAGACTCTGGGAACCTTCAGCTCATTTCCTCTCTAGATCTCCAGGGATCTCTCTTCACAGACATCCTTTCCATTTCAACATGCTAGAAATCTGTTGAATCACATTAAGTCTGTTGAGTCATTAATTCCATCACTCTTCCAGTAAGTATTTAAAGGACATGAGATGGCATGCCGAGCATCTAGAGCACATACGTGAATGTCACAGTCCTGGTGAAAAGGAGCCAACGGCACCATGAGGATGCAGAAAGAAACTGATCACTCCTGCACAGGGCCATGCTATTCTCTGGACAATCATGCAGGAGGGCCGGGGTCATCTTAAGGACCAACAGGGTCATCTGAGCACTGCTGAGAGCAAACCCCTCCTCCCTGCTACCAGCACAGAGCTGGGAGTGGCCAAAGTTCTGCTGGGTGTGGTCCCCAAAGCAGATAACTACTTCTCCCCAGGAATAAGTGCATGTTGTAACAAAAACATGAAGACGCTAATGTGTATGTGGGCAGGAAGGACCTTTCTCCCCCAGTCAAGTCCATCTTTGACGCTGATCTTGAATTAAATGGGCCAGAGATGTGAGAGGGGAGAACGACTTCCAAGAAAGCACCATTGCTGCAGCACAAGAGTTTGGTAGCAGCAGCAAGTCAGTGGGTTGGATGGAAATTTAATCTTTAATGCAGTGGGAGGAACTGTGGGAGTGTGACGTGGAATGGTGTGCAAGGCTTTCCTACTCACTGTGCCATTGCTCCAGCCCCATCTCTCCATTTCTATTCCATCATTAATCTATTTGGTTTTAGCTCACCCGTCAATGTATCTCACACAGACTACTGTAAAGCACTTTGACTAAATTTGTCCATCTCTCTACACCTTACCACCAATCGCCAACCCTTCTCCACAGAGTGCCAAAGGAACAGTTTCCAACTAGAAGTCAGGCTTTGTTCAAGAGAACACATTATTCTGCTTGTTTGTCTCAATGTTTCTTTGTTTATTTCCTCTCTGGAGAAGCTTGTGTTCTCTTGAACACACATGTCTGCACTTTCTCTCCTCATCTTTCTAAGCAAGTTTAGTTCAAGAAAAACTACCCTGCTTTAAAAAAAAAAAAAGTGGAAGTCAGATCTATGCAGAAAACCAGCCTGCTTAAAACAATCAACAGTTTCTTGCTACAAAGAGAATAAAACCCAAACTCTTTTCCATGGCCCCAAAGTTGCTCTTCAATTCTCGTAACAGTTGCATGCACAGGTGTTAAAAGTGTGGTTCAAGGATTAGCATCTGAAGACCACTGGGCAGACAAGGCGCTGCGTGTGCACCCCATCTGCCCTGGGCACCCTCATGCCCTCTTACCCTCACCATCCACAGCGACAAAAGGTCTGGAGAATACCCTAAGGTAATACCCTGGGCCCGCGGGTCACTCCATTTACCCAAATCCTTCTCATTCCTGATTTGGTTATGATAGAGCATCTTCAGAGACTTCCTAAGTAGAACCTCCTACCAACCCTAATCATAATCTGTCACTACTTATTCAGTGTTCTGCGTCTTGAATTACAGATTTGAGTTGTCTGTTCTTCTGATCAGTTTTCCATGTTTTATAGTTATTACTCAGTAACTACAGGTTTTTGAATATCTTTTCTGAAGTTTGGTAGGGAAGATAATGAAGTTTGTTTCTGGAGATGCCAAATTCAGCTTCAAAACTCTTTGCGCACCATCTGACAGTATTCAGGAAAAGCAGGGAAGTAGGAGTCTGGAGCTCAGGAGAGGAAATAAGATCCAAGAGAGCAATATGGATGGCAGTTAACTTGAGTAAGAACTGCAGAACAAAGATAATGAAGCCAGGAATCCGAAAAAGCCAGCAGAAGCTGACTCAGCAAAGGAGATTAACCAAGATTAGAAGAGGTAGAAAAACACACTTAAGAGCTGGAAAGGCAAAAAACTCCGCCAGGCAAAGGGTGATGGATCACCTCAACACTGCTGCATAGAATGAAGACACAGATTAAAGCACTGGATGTCACGGGGAGCACTAAAATCTGAATGAGAGTGTCGGGAAGAGACACTAAATTTGAAACAGTGAAATGTGATTCAGAATACAGAGTAGAGGTAAACTTTGCTAATAAGTGCTTTGTTATCTATAATACAAATAAAGGGGGAAAGGGGAATTGCTCGAAGCATAGATCAAGGACTTCAGATGCTGAATGGCTAGAGGTTCAAAAAAGGAGTGCAGGCATCAAAAATTGAAAAAGGAAAGACGGGCTGGAGTGTTAGTACAGTGGGGAGGGCATTTGCCTTGCACGCTGCTGTCCTGGGTTCAATCCCCAGCATCCCCTATGGTCCCCGGAGCACCACCAGGAGTAATTCCTGAGGGCAGAGTCAGGAGTAACCCCCGAGTATCACTGGGTGTGACACAAAAAGAAAAAAAAAGGAAAGCTATGAGTACTTAAGAATTAGAAGAGAATGGCCAAGTGACAGAGCTGTTTACTAGTAAGAGAAGTTGCCCAAGGTCAAGAGCCTGGAAGTACTGCAGCATCGTTCTCAGAGCCCAGCAGAGGTTAACATAAAGCCAGAATCTGCGTTTCCACTTGGGGCTGACATTCATACTGATGGCTGAAAGCAGCGGTGGGACAGCTGGCCCTGTTTGTCCACATCAAGCTGTGCAGCTGGTCTCTGGACCAGCAAACGTCACTCTCAAACACACCCCCTGCAAAATATCTCCTCATACAAAAAAACAAAATCACAACAATAGAAACAACAGTACGAATGGGCAGGAATGGAGAGAGAGGACTGCAGCTGGGTGTGACCAAAAACTAAAAGAAAAAAAAATGTTTGGGGTGACTAGAGAGATAAGAGATGCCAGTGTGATGTCAGGAAAGACACGTGTGCGGCTTTTTAAACAGAAGCCAAACTAGCTGTCTTTTTCTCTTTAACTGGGCACTCTTTCTGCTGTGAGAAGCTGTGGACGAATTATAATTATGCAGACTTGAGTACTTGGCACACATTTTCTCTGACATGAATGAAGTCAGCCTGGTACTTTCAGGGAAATAACTTGACAGTATTTTTACCAGTGAATAAAATATAAGTTTTCAAGCAATAATTAAAATCTGGAAAACTTATGCCAACCACTGTGAGCCTGACAGCTTCTGAATGCCTGAGCTGCTTCTGAGATCAGTGTTGATGGTAGTAAATGCGACTTCTGATGTTACATAATGAATTAATATTTGGAAGTGATGCTTCACTCCAGTAGGCCAAGAATTCCCAAATGACAAATGAATGCATGGGGAAAAAATCCACTTACAGCACAAGACAGACCCAGGGAGTCTATGCTAGATGCAGAGTGCGGGACGCTTACTGAAGTGGCTTCAGATTTCATATTGCAGAGAATCGCTAGGACAAGAAACCACTGCGGGCTGATTTTTGGTATGGTATCAAAAAAAAAAGTCCCTAATAAGAAGAAAAAGCCGGGAGAAAAAACACCCAGCTTACCAATGACACATGTATTTTTCTGTATACAAGTCCAAAGCAAAGACACATCATTTTAAAACACACAAAAATCATTTACGGTATGTATGATTGAAATAATAATGGATAATGGCTACGAGAGCCCCATCAAGAAAGATCCATAAGTAAATATAACACCACCACGTGTGTCCCAAGCCAAAACAAAAGCCAAATAAGAATATGAGTTAAAAAAAACTGGATGTTACGTCCTTATTATGTTACACTTATTTTCGCCAACACCTAAGTTTCATTATTTTGTTATCTGTCAAGAAATAGAGCAGTGGAAAGAACATTAAATGCAAAATGTTCAGTTTCAATTTTGTTTTAGGCAACTGTGCAAGGGGCTCTTCTTTTGTATATTTGTATGGCACAATACATGTGTACCTTAAAAAAAAAACTGGATGTTATAATAAATTATCATTTAGGTAGGTCAAAGAAAGGAAAATCTATGTTTAGGAGAAATAAAAATCTTCCATCAAAAACAAAAATGTCTGAAATTATTATGCTCCACAGTGATAATTTATAGTTTATTTGGAAGGAAAATGAATGATGCTGTTGTATTATTGTGTTACTTTAATAAAAGGTTAATTACACTACACTAAGCATCTAACTACACTTTCAAACTTTAATCCAAATGTATTAATATATTTCATGCTTTGATCCCTCACTTATTTGTTAAATCATTTTTTAAAAAATTATATAACGCACTGGTGAAGGGTTTGGAGTTGGAACACTGTACACCTGAAATTCAATCATGAGTTATCTTTGTAACTCACAGTAATTCAATTAAAAAAAAATACGGGGCTAGAGCAACAGTATAGCAGGTAGGGAGCTTGCCTTGTATGCGACTGACCTGGGTTTGAACCCAGCATCTCATATGGTCCCCCAAGTCCATCAAAAATAATTCCTAAGCACAGAGTCAGGGGTAAGCTCTGAGCACCACAGAGGGTGACCTAAAAACAAATTCCCCAAAAGTTATATAACAAAAATGATCTTGTACTGAAAACTCAAACCTCTAATTCCGGTTGACTACAGCTCTCCCCTCCTCCCCCAACATACTGACCCAAGCAGTGGCCAGGAGGTCCTGGGGGCCCCTGCTGGGATTCTCTTCCAACCTAAGGATTTGGTGCCACTGAAATGTGGCACCATGGAGCGGGGAATGACCCTGTGCACTCCAGCAGGCCCAGAGACATACCTGGGGGTGCTCAGGAGCCTGCAGGCCACCCCCAGGAGAGTTCAGGGCCTGGGGGCCACATCTAATGGTGCCGAGCATCTCCAGGGTTACACCTGGCACATTCTGGGGACCATGTAGTGCCAGGACGAAACTGGGGTTTGCTAGATATATACACCTTAACCTCTGTACTCTCTCCGTTCCCCAAAGCTAGATGACTTCTCCTTTGATTCTACTGAGATACAGTTGACCTGAGCACTTCTTACAATCTTCATTACCACTCTCTTGGCCCAAACCACCATCATTTCTCCTTCAGATTACTGCAATGTCTACTGTGGATCTTCCTGCCTCACACATCCACTAGTTTATTCTCAAACACAGCAGTCAGTGCAAAACTATGTGATGCTGAGATGGGGATTGCGGACTTGCCTTGTAAGCGGCCAACCCTGGTTTGATCCCTGAAGCCTGCGTATGGTTCCCCAAACACCACCAGGTGTGACCCCTTAGCACTGAGCTCAGAGTAAGTCCGGAGTGCCACCGAGTGTGGCCCAATCTCCTGCCCCCCAAACCAAGCAAAAGAACACCACAAAAACTTGTGATACAGGGCCAGTGATATCACAAGTGGTAGTAAGCATAACTCTTTCATGTATGAGGACCTGGGATCCAACACAGGAACCTTTTGGTCCCCTGAACAAAACCAAACCAAACCTTGTGATATCACATCGCTCCTTTGTTCCAGACCTTCCAATAACCACATTATTTCATTCAGAGCCAGAATCATCTGCGTAATAGTCTAAGTGGTCTGACGTGACTGGGGAGAAAGCATTCCCTACTCTATCTGTTAGTCCTCTCCTTATCCTCATCTGTGGCTTCTTCTGCTGCTAAACAAACCTTTCCATTCCAGGCTTACTCTGCATTACATGCTTTATCATGGCCATTCCCTCCGCCAGGTCCAAATGTTCTATGGCTGCATAACCAAATCAGCACTGTCAAGCATCAATTCAAAACTTATCTTAAAATGCAGCCTACCCCAGTCACCCCTCACAAAACTCCCTGTTTCCTTTAGTGTCATATATGCCAATACTATATTCGGTTCATTTTTTTTACTTTCTTCCCATTTTGCCAAGTGTAAACTGTAGAGTTCTGGGTCACTGTTTGAGTTGGTGGGAACGAGGGAGGGAGGCTAAATCATGCTCATGAACTAAGGAAGTACCTATCTCATGCTTTTCTTTAGATAGTACAATGAGGTAGGATTTAAACATAAATTTCCAATTTAAAACTAAAGAACTTTGGAGGGGCAGAGTGTCACTGCAGCTTGTACGGCATTTGCCATGCATGTGGCCAAACTAAATTCAGTCCCTGGTACCTCACAAGCCACCTCCCACCTCCTCCCCACAGCCCCAACAAGAGTCATCCCTGAGCAGTCCAGGAGCAAGGAGCAAGTCATAAGCACAGCCAGGTGAAGCCCAGAAAGCAAAAATAGAAAAAGGAACCCCAAACCTTTAAATTACTTGACTTATTGTTAAATACTGACCAAAAGTGGTAGGAAAGTCAGTACCAAGAGTTGAGGTATTTGGCTGTAAGCCACCTTGATTCTATCCCCGGCACCAGATAATCCCCCAATGTCACTGTGTATAAAAACAGGAGGCCTCTGATACCACTAAGTGGCCCAAACCATCCCAGACACAACATAACTGGGCACAATTGCTCCAGCCCTCACAAGAAACTGACAGTCCAGGTGGCAGGGATGAGTCGGAGCCCCCTGAGCACTGTTTGGGGATACCCTCCTTTTCCACCCCCCAAAAAAAACCCTAACCCAAATCATACATTTAAAAAAATTGTAGACGAGTCATCTAAAACAGACCCCCAAAAAGGGCCATGCTTCACTCTATGAGTTAAGTGCTTGAGCATAGTACCTAAAGTTTCCAAATTCAGAAAGATGAAACTAAACAACGTGCCTCATCTACTGGTGACATATTGTTTACACACATCAAAACCATCTGACATGACCAATTGATACAACTTCATGAATGAAATATCCCTAGACATCATTTCATAAACACTCATCCCCAAATATCCCATAGGTCTAATTTGCTTTCAAAAGACCAAAGAGATCCAGCTCTCCATTCAGATTGAGGGGACTGAACTCCAGCCAAAGGTGACATCACATCACTGAGGCAGTCCGGCAAGTGCAGCAAGGCCGCACCGTGCCTCTCCCCACCCGCTCCAGAGGTTGCCTCAACAATCCTTGGCCGTGACTCGGCCTCTGAGAATGTACCCGGGAACACAGACAGCAATTATTAGAGCACAACCCGTCACAGCATTCCACTCTCTGGCTCAAAGCTGAGAGCTCAAAAAACACAGATCTGGCTGCCTTAAAAACATCATCAGTGTGAGGCCCTGAGGAATTCCATATCCACACTCTTAACTGCATTTTCTGAAAAGCCGGGCAAAAAGAAAGATCCTTTATCCTGAAATAGTACTTATGGAATGAATCTTGAGGATGACCTTCGGTACGACGAAAAGGTGGCAGGGCATTCCAATGTTGTCATTATTAAGTTCTACTCTGAATAATTATCCATTAAATAAATGATAATTTCTTGCAGTTGGCAGGGCCCAGAGAACTGTCTTTGGCTTGGTTTACAATGAAACACACATTAAAGCAAGCTACCATTTTCCGAGTGTTTGCAATATGTCAGCTATTGTTCTAAGGGCCTAAATGTCTTTCCATGCCTTTACTCCTCACAGCAACAAAATGTATGGTTGACACCAACATCAACTGTGTTTACAAAGAAGAAAACTGAGGATTAATTAAGCTACACAACTTGAACTTAAAACCCAAGTACCGGCTTATACACCGCCTGAGCCCATGTGCTGCTTGTGGCCACGTGGCTGAGCACAAGTGTCACACTAGCACATGTGTCTCTCACATCTCCCGTCTTGAGATATGGACTTTCATGCATCCATATCTAATGCTGGTATGTATGTTGGAGATCTCTCCTTTGGAGAAGCCTGCATTTTCTCTTGGGTGCATTGCTCTCTCTCACTTTCTCTCACTCCTTCCCCTTCTTAAAGATCTCCAAGTAAAATGTTTTCACTAAAAAAAAAAAAAAAAATCTACTCTGAACTGAAGGACCTTGAATTTTCATCACACTATTAATGTATGTGAGGTTCAATATTACCTTATTTCTCACTGTAAATAACTCATGTCAAGTAAATCATGGGAAGTAAAAATCTTTCAAAGTCTTCACAAACTTGTATATTTCAGGGCTGCTCCTTATTAGGATAAATAAGGTGCTAAGTTTTAAAATCCACAAATGCAGGTGTTCCAAGATTTCAGGAGGATATGAGTTATATCTGACAAATCTGTAAAAAGCTGAACTAATTACACGTTGAGTTTGAAAACACACAGGAAAATAACAAAAATAGTCAAATTCGGAGTGGGGAGAACTGGAATTCATCTATCCATGTGTGTAACTTTGTTCACCACTCATTTTTCTCATGAGCAAAACAAAAGTGATGGCCTAAATAACCTAACTGCCTGTAAGAATACATCATGGTTCAAATTTTATCAGCTCCTAAAGAGAAACAAAACTAGCAGGGGGGAGGCACTTACGTACAATCTGAATTTCTGCTCCAAAATAAATATATATGGAGGGCACTAGAATTCCTCTGCTAACCCTCCCATCTCCATCCTTTGAAAAGAAGATATTTTCTTGGTAATAGCTGAAACTTATTGGTCTGCAGGGATTTCCACTGACACTAATTAGCCTCCGGACTTCGAAGGCTGCCTTCAGGTCACTGAATCGCACCCTAATCTGCCACTCACCGCCAACTTAAGGTGTCTGTTGCTCCTGTAATATCCAAGCTTAAGAATGAGCACCCACCGCCCCTCCGCACGGGTAGAAAGCGCCCAGCGCGGTTCCCGGCCCAGCGCACGCACAGCGCTGAAATGCGTGCCTCGTCGGCTGCGTTCTGATCCTGTTCACAAAGTTCCCTGGGCATCATCGCTCTGGGTACCACCAGGGGCGGCCCGGGACTTCCGCCCTACGGCGGAGACGCCCAGGGCCTGGGCCCCGTACCCTCTCTACCGTTTGCAAAGCGGGGTGCCGCGGCACCCGGGCGGGCTTTGCCTGGCGATGTCTGACCCACGCCGCGACGTTTCAGAAACAGCCAAAAACTACTTTGCGGAAGGAAAGGCCAGTGGGAGAGAGGGAACCTGGAGGGGAGGGGGGTCCCCAGGGCGGGGCTGGGCGGACACCTGCAGGGAGGGGGGCCCGAGGGGCCCGCGCAGGGCGCGCACTCACGCACCTCCCAGGCCGGTTCAGCCCCAGCCCCACCTTCTCCTCCCCGAGCCCGGCGCGGCAGGGGCGCTCGGGGTCTTCGGGGACCGGCTGCGCCCGAGCTCCCGGCAGCCTCCCCATCCTCCCCAAGGGGGCAGGCAGGGCGTGTCCACCAAGTGGGGGGGTCAGCGCTGGGCACGGGCGCGGCAGCCGCAGCGAAGCTGGCGCGGGGAGCACCCGGCCCCCACGCTGGGTACCTTGCGTCCAGCGGCAGAAGATGGTGTCCGAGAGGCCGGGGCTGCTCTGGGTGCCCCACACCAGCTCCATCAGCTCTTTGGTCAGTTCGGACATGATGGGTCACCGGCGAGCGGGTCTCGGCGTCCACGACTCCGGCCCCGGAACATGGGGAAGGGGCGGCGACGGGAGGCAGGAGCTGCGGGGCGCCGGCGGCGAAGGAGGCTGCAGGGGAGACGCGAGCAAGACCCGAGGAGGACGGCGGCTACTTGCAGGGACCGCGCCTGTCAAGTCCACGGCCGGCAGCAGCTCCGACTTTCCCGTCCCGGAAGTCCCGGGCCACTTCCTGCTCCTCCTGCGCTCCCGCCCCCGCCGCCGCCTGAGGAGCGCGGAGACCCCGCCCCGGAAGCGGAAGTGGGAGGCGGGGATTGCCGAGATGAGAGGATGGAGGCCTCTAGCTAGGCCGGCCCGTACCTGTCTCCCTGTACCTGTGGGGGGTGGCTTTGGTGGAACCGGCTTCCTATCCCCCCAGATAGGCAGGCGTTGGCACGTTTTTACCCTCCTCGAACGCCTCCTCCTCTCTCAGTTGGCCTGGTCTTAACTAGCGGTGCTGAGGCCAAAGCCTTGGAGCCAATGAAATAAATCACCTGTTGCTTACGATTTCTTGGGGCAACTATGCTACGCTGCAATGCCAAGATGGGTTGAGTCTCGCCAGCGAGACGGCTAAGGCTGTAGGGATCCTCTGATAAGTTGGCAGCCTCAATACCTTGCCACATTATGTCCAGTCAAACTATTACCAACGCCACCTGGGTGTGCTGTAAAGTGCCTTAGAAATGCGGTTTACCAGGTGTAGCACAGAATCAACGTGCTGATTCTTGGAAAATAATCAAGGCAACCTGTGTGTTGAGGACAGGACCTTCTCCAATAGGCTTTGGGAGCAACACCTGAACGTTCAGGTTTCAGTCATACACTAGCACTTAGGTAAATGTCATTTGCATGAAAACTTCTATTTGTGCTTTTTAAAAAAAATCAACTTATTCTGTCTGAACTTTGAGTTTTCAGACAAAGGGACAAAATCTGGTGGTTTTTTTTTTCCAGTTGCAATAAATTGCAAAGTAAATTATGCTTTGTTTCCGACCAAAGAAACTTTTGTTATATAGCACAAAGGAATTGTTCACAATGCCTGAATGATATTTATAACCTTACCCCTGAGTTTTATTCCCTTTGGAGTAAGCTTGGTCCTATTTTTACAAACCCAGTGCTACTCATTTGCCAAGGCATAGTATATTTGTTACTTTGTAGTAAAACGTTGTTCTGATTAGCACTGTAGCACTGTTCCCTCTCCCCCAAGCCTTGTTCATAGATTCACTCCAGCAGGCCTAGTAATGTCTCCATTGTGAGACTTGTTGTTACTGTGCTTGGCATAAGAAATAGGTAAGGGGTAGCTTGCCAGGCTTTTCCGTGAGGGAAGGATACTTTCGGTAGCTTGCCAGGCTCTCTGAGAGGGGCGAAGAGCTGGAGCAATAGCACAGAGGGTAGGGCGTTTGCCTAGCACTGACCTGGTTCGATTCCTCCACCCCTCTCAGAGAGCCTGACAAGCTACTGATAGTATCTTGCCCACATGGCAAATCCTGGCAAGCTACCGGTATGTGTTCAATGTGCCAAACACAGTAACATGTCTCACAACGTTATTGGGCCCGCATGAGCAAATCCATGAACAATGGGAGGACAGTGACAGTTCTGATTATGGAAAGCTAAATAATTTGAATATCTCAAATTTCAGAGTATCTTAATTGTAACTTGTTTATGACAACTACTGTAATTATTGTTTTAGCAAGAATTTTGCTTTTCTCTTGAAATACAATCTTGATAAAACCAAGGATCTATCTTATTCCTAACACCTAGTATGGAGCCTGGATGTTGTCAGAACCAAATAAATAAAAGTTAAGGAAATAAAACTTGCTTTGACTAGAACCTAAGAATTTTCTATCTGGCCACAAGCATGAGACCAAGGGAAATAAAATTGACTGGTCCTTAATCATGGGCTAAGTATATCTTGCAATTTAATGGTAATTTACAATTTACATAATTTCTCCACTTCCTGAGTCTGTGTTCATAGAGAGCCTGATAACAGTTATATAAGTTTGCCACATTTATTTTCTTCCCATTAATATATACAAATGAGTTATAAAATAGAAATACTATATCTATGAAGAAAAAATTGCACTTTCAAAAGCTGTTGTTTTAGTTGTTGTGGAGGGTGTGTCTGTGTGTGTGTGTTGGGGCGACACCTGATGGTGATCAGGACTTACTCCTGCCTCTGTGCTCAGGGATCACTCCTGGTGGGGCTCGGGGAACCATATGTAGTGCCAGGGATTGAACCTGGTTGGTTGTATGCAAAGCAAACACCCTGTCTGCTGTACTGTCACTCCAACTCTCAAATTATTTTTTAATGAACTATTTATTGATCTGTCTCCATTGTTGTTACTGTGTCTGGCATATCGAATACTCTCGGTAGCTTGCCGGGCTCTCCGAGAGGGGCGGAGGAATCGAACTCGGGTCGGCCATGTTGGCCGCTTGTAAGGCGAACGCCCTACCCGCTGTGCTATCGCTCCAGCCAGTAGTTTCTTTTGTTTCTAGCTACAATTATCTGGCAACGTCATGGGTAGATGTTGACATGTACATCCTTTACCCACCAACGATATATTTTTTTAATTAGTGAAACACCATGAGGTACAGTTGTAGACTTACTAATTTTTGTGCTTGGGTTTTAGTTATACAATGATTGAGTACCCATCCCCCCACCAGTCTCCATTCTCCACAACCAATGATCCCAGTAGCCCTCCCATCCCCCCTCCCTCATCACCCCCTACCCCAGCCCGCCTCTGTGGCAGGGCATTCCCTTTTGCTCTCTCTTTCCTTTAGGGTATTGTACCCACAAAAGTTTTATTCCTTATTTGCAGTGTTTAAATTTTGTTAATTAGCAGAACATACTTTAACAAGGAATAATTTATTACTGTTAAAGCATTGTTATTGCTTAATGAATTAACTTGAATTTTGAAATTAAGCTATAAGAGAATTAATGTTCCTTTTTAATGTTCATTTAAATTGTTCTTACTCAGTAATTATCTATAAAAATAATAAATATTGAAAGCATTCAGGTTTGTTGCATCCCTATCCAACAGAGAATAATAATGTCTTTGATTATTTTAATGACTTGAAAATTATGAATATTTCTATCAAGTATTTATATTGTTTCATGTTTTACATATTTCCCCTTAGGTATCTCTTTAGTTTTAATTAAAACACTGTGTATTAGGATGTGCATAGGTTGCATAATTGATTTTCAGTCCTAAAAGAGCTTTACAACATCAAATAATTTCTGCCCAAGTTGTTTTAGTAATACTTCTTTTAAGTTAAAATAAAGGTACTTTCATAAAACTGGGCTGAGATTCTATCATGATTAATTCTTGAAACTATCTAATTTTAACTGAATTGATTTGCATGTAACACTGTGCAAATTTAAGGAGTACAAAGTGTTACTTTGATACATTTGCAGATTGTAGTTTACCTATAGTATTGTCTGTCACAGCAGTGATATTTTTCATCTTGTATGGTGCAATATTGTTGCTATAGTCACACCTGTTAGAGTAACTATTGCCAGGCAGACAAGAAATAGTATGTCCTTGTGAAGGTGGTAAAAAGGAATACTCTTTTGTGCACTGTTGGTAGGAATGTAAATTAGTGCTTCCACAATGAAAAGCCAACATGAAGATTCTTCAAAAAAATATTAGATCCATGGGCTGGAGAGATAACTCAATAGGTTAAGCACACGCTTACTTACTAGAGGCCCAAGTTTAACCCCAGAACTGCATGGTCTTCCAAGAACTGTTCGGAGCATACCACATGAACAGAGCCTGGAGTAGTCCCTGGGCACCACTGTGTTGTAGCTCCAAAATAAAGAATTAAACAAATAAAACTAGATTGCTGGGAGCTGGAGCGATAGCACAGCGGGTAGGCATTTGCCTTGTACGTGGCTGATCCGGGTTTGATTCCCAGCATCCCATATGGTCCCCCGAGCACCGCCAGGAGTAATTCCTCAGAGCAAATACAGGAGTAACCCATGAGCATCGCCGGGTGTGACCCCCCAAAAGAAAAAAAAACAAAACAACTAGATTGCTATGTGATCCAGCAATCCTACTTCTGAATATAATAAACCTAAAGGAAATGAAAAAGTAAGATTTACATAAGATACATACACTATTGTTCTTTATATCCCAAATATGAAAACAACCTAAATGTCCATTCACAGTTAAATGGACTTGTTTTTGGAGTTTGACAAATTTATTGGTAATTTAGTAAAGACATTCATTTCAGGCATTTCTCTCTTTCAACGTAGGTTAGTAATTCATCTGACTCAAAAGAACATGTTGGAGAGGATGTTACTTTAACAAACAATGAAATGAACTAAAACAAAAAGTTTGCCTACATTAAAGCAAGTTAAATTCATGTTTCTTTTATCTCTGACTATGTTTTAAAGATGTTTAACTGTCACATAAAAAAATCCACATACAATACAAAAATATAAAAAAAACCCTCTACAATCTAACAAAGCATATATGGTCAAGATCCATAAAATATTCTTGAAGATGCCATTATTTTGCTTTCAATAAATAAAATGTGCTTTTAAGAGGACACCGGCATGTATACACTTAAGATGAAGCACATTATTATATTAAATAAAACCTGTATTAATCTCAAATCAAGTTAGTAACTTATATGTTTTTGACAAAATTACAGAAAAGTGCATCTTCTCATTTTCCATCTTCATACAATGCTGAGTTTTCCTGTTTTGGTGTTTATACTTCTTTGAAAATAAAAACACCCTAATATTTATTTATGTACATTTAAATTTTTGGTGGTGGTCTATAATTTAAAAGAAGCAGCTTCTTTATGATTTTCCTCAAATTCCGGTGGAAATGCTTACAGAAACTAGCTAATAATAAAAACCGAGAGAACCACATTCAAAATACTGCTTTACTTTGGTAGCAAATGGCTGTTCTTTGAAGAATAATGAAGGCAGACAAGACCAATTAAGGTGAAATGGGCTATTTCAAATACTCAAGTTGACATAAATTTTTTAAAGAGTTAAGCATCTGTATCCACTGATAGCAATGCAATATCTAGTCCTATGACTTGAAACAAAAAAAAAGTCCATGGGGGAAAAAAGCTAATATTTAATTTTATCTAATATATGTTCAGTCAATAGTTTATAACATTTTCCTCCCAATACAGTACTCCCCTCTTTATAGGTTGTTCCTGAGAGCTAGACAGTTTAGCTAATAAGGGAGTTAAGAGA